AGGAGGTTCTGAGCGGAAGGGATGTCATCAAAGCAGCATCTTCACAGGATGAACGTAGCAGCCTTTCCCAGGCCAGCAGGTCCAGGACAGCCTGGGTGACAGAGGGCTGTTCAGCCACATGTTTCCTGAATGCCTGTGTGCCGGGCATCTTACAGGACATACTTGACCTGGGTAAGAAAGACGGACAGGACAGCCCCAGGCTCTCCTCTGTCCCTTACAGCAGTGACTCCCGTGCCAGCCTCTGCAGCTCCATACAAATTCGGATTCCCAGGCCCCACCCAGAGATTCTGACCCACAGGCTGGGGCAAGGCCCAGGATTCTGAACTTTTCTTTCTTTATCTTAATTTATTTATTTTGAGAGAGAGAGAGAGAGACCACAAATGGGGAGAGGCGGAGGGCGGGGGGTGGGGGGGGGGTGGAGAGAATCCCAAGCAGGCTCCACACCCAATGCAGGGCTCAAACTCACAATCCATGAGATCATGTTCTGGGCAGAAATCCAGAGTCAGCTGTATAACCAACGGAGCCACTTAGGCGCCCCCAGGATCCTGAATTTTTAATAAATGTACCCAAGTGATTGTGAGGCAGTCAGTCTATGGAGCTGGTCCACAGATCAGAAGCAGCTCCTAACCTGACCTTGGAACACAGCAGGTTTGGATGCTTATTAAATACGTGAGCAGATAATGGACTTCCACACTGTTAGGAGACAAACCAGGAGATGCTGAAAGACTTTCAATAGTAACTGAAAGAAGGGGGGCAGCCGGGTGGCTCAGTCAATTTAGCATCTGCCTCTGGACTTTGGCTCAGGTCATGATCCCCGGGTCATGGAATCAAGCCCCACACCAGACTCCATACTGAGAGTAAAGCCTGCTTAAAATTCTCTCTCTTTCTCCCCCACTTGTGATCTCTCTCTAAAATAAAATAATAATCGAAACAAGATTTTCCTGGTTAAGTGAATGGTTTTTTAGCTAATATTTAATTAACCAAAATATAAGGCCACTAATAATGTTCTATGATCTATTTCTGCAACCATTCCAGCTAAAAGGTACTTCTGTTTCACCTGAAAATGGCCTTAGGGGAGACCTCTGGGTGTGAGGCTCTCTGTAGCTCTGCTCTGCATCTTAGGGACACGGTGGAGTCCAGGAGCCCACCCTGAGGGCGGAGGCTGTCTCCAGATGGTTGGGTAGGCAAGGAGCTGCCTGCCTGTCCCCAAAGATGTTCTGACACACTTCAAGGCAACCCTCCCTGGGAGTCAACTGCCCTTAACACCTTACCTTCCATAAGACAGAAGTGCTCCTTAAAGAAGAAACATGGCACAGGGGCGCCTGGGTGGCTCAGTCGGTTAAGCGTCCGACTTTGGCTCAGGTCATGATCTCACTGGTTCGTGGGTTTGAGCCCTGCATAGGGCTCTGTGGTGACAGCTAGCTCAGAGCCTGGAGCCTGTTTCAGATTCTGCATCTCCCTCTCTCTCTGACCCTCCCCTGTTCACGCTGTCTCTCTCTCTCTCTCAGAAATAAAACATTAAAAAAAATTAAAAGAAAAAAAAAAGAAGAAAAAGAAACATGGCACAAAGGGAAAGACACTGGCCCAGGACAGGGGTCTAGTCCTAGCCAGGTCAGGAATTCCCCGTGTGGCCTTAGGCAAGCCTCCTATTTGCTCCTGAAGGTCCCTTCCAGCCCTGATGTATCCAAGGAGAGAATTTCTACAGTTTCCTTCTTCCTAACTAATACTGAAAATGTAACACTCAGTATACAATGCACTCCCAAAGGCGCCTAGGTAGCTCAGTCCGTTGGGGGACTGATCATTGCTTTCAGCTCCAATCACGATCCCATAGTTCAGGAGATTGAGCCTCAAGTTGGTCTCTTGTGCTGACAGTGTGGAGCCTGCTTGGGATTCTCTGTCTCCCTTGCTCTCTGGGCCTCCCATGCATGTGCGCATGTACACACACTCCCTCTCTCTCCCCCTCTCTCTCTAATATGAACATTTTTTTTAAACACACCCCAGGGTGCTCGGATGGCTGGCTCAGTCTGTTAACCATCTGACTTTGGCTCAGATCATGATCTTTCAGTTCGTGAGTTTGGGCCCTGCATCGAGCTCTCTGTCAGCACAGAGCCTGCTTTAGAATCTCGGTCTCCCTCTCTCTGCCCCTCCCCTACCTGCTCTGTCTCTGTCTCTCTCAAAATAATAAATATTAAAAAATAAAAATGCACTCCCATATGTAAGGCATGATGTTCAGTGCTGGGGATACAACACTTAAGAGAAGCCAAGGTCCACGCCCTTTGTCTACTTTGTCTTGACAGGTAGACAAATAATTCATTCAATAATTATATAATTACAGCAGTGATAAATGTTACTAAGGAAAAGTACTTGATGCTATGTGAGTGTATAACAGTTACTTGGGAAAGGTTTGTCAAGGAAATAACATTTACACTGAAACCTGAAAGCAGATGGAAGAATAGGGGTGGGAGTGGGGGTGCTCCAGGCAGACGGAAAAGCACGTGTGAAGTGATGCCAGAAGAAGCATTCCTTTCAGGAATATTCCAAACCCGAGGGAGAGCTAAAATGCTCAATAAAATGAAGCAAACCTTTTAGGACCATACATTTAAAGAAAAAAAGAGCACCTTTTATCACAAACAGAAATCAGACTCACCAAGTATGAATTCAAAAGTAATGGAACAGGACGCCTGGGTGGCTCAGTCGGTTAAGCGGCCAACTTTTGGCTCAGGTCATGATCTCACGGTTTGTGGGTTCGAGCCCCGCTTGGGGCTCTGTGCTGACAGCTCAGAGCCTCGAGCCTGCTTCGGATTCTGTGTCTCCCTCTCTCTCTGCCCTCCCCCACTCATGCTCTGTCTCAAAAATAAATAAACTATTAAAAAAAAAAGTAACAGGAACAATGTTACCCAGAAACTGATAAACTCTTATCTGACCAGAGCCCCCAGACCCTCCCTCATTTGTGATGTCTCAACACAGGTGGCGTCAATTCCCTCAGGTCACCCACAGCTGCTTCCAGGCCCTGGTGACCTATGGCTGTCAGGCTGAGCACGGCAGAGGGAGGGAGAATGAAACGCAGGCACTACGATGGGAGCCTGGCCCTGAGGCCCATATTTCTGGCGCTGACTAGGCGCCAGGCATCATGCACCGGGACAGGAGATAAGACCTGATACATTCACAGCACCAGGGTGTGCAAGGAAGACGTGCCTTTCAGATGGGGGTCCTTTGGAAGCTCCAAAGAGGGAATGACATCTGAAGATGGCCAAGACCTGGAGATGGAGAGAAAGAGAGTATTCTGACAGCGGCACAACACGGCCAAGGCCCGGAAGCTGGAAAGCCCTGAGTGCACAAGCAGCCGTGGCTGGAGCCCGAGATAAGAGGAAAGGTAAAGACCTGGAAGTCTCCATAAAGACTCCAGAAAGTGAAAAGATGACAATGCTGGTCTTCAGGGTGGTGTTTGGAGATGCGGTCGGATCCCCGCTGTGCCCAGAACAGCCCTTTGACCAAGGGCCTTTGGCTTTCTGCCTTGAACCAGCACAGCGTTTCTCAAGCATTAGAGTCCTAGGGAGCACGTGGGACAAGTTGCCAGGTGTTACCTTGGGATTCCAGGTAAACTGGGATGAGCCCCAGGCTGAAAGACCCCAGATCAGAGAGTAGGTCCCAAGGGTCCCAAGGGCCTGAATTCTTGGCCTCCTACAGCATGAAGTCCAGGCCCAAGTGCCCTTCCCCGATTGCTCTGGTGGCTGCTCTGGACAGGCGCATTTGTGCTGGGAAGGACACAGACTTTGTGTGCTATCGGGGGGAAGCAGGAACGAAAAGCTGCGGAGGACTGTGGACACAGACTGTCCCCAAGCCTAGGGACATTTCCAGGGGAGGTGAAAGCTAAGAGTGGCCAAGAGACCTGGAGGAAAGGAAGGGCATCCTGGGCAGAGAGTACAGCTTGTGTAAAGGCACCTTCGACGCAGTCAAGACCTACGGGGCACACAGGAAGACGAGAAGCAAAGGCTGGAGAGGAAGCCAGGCCCACAGCACCGCCGGCCCTCCTAGAAGCCGGGACTTGATTGTGTAGGTAACAAAGAGCTACCCAAAGCCCTGGAACCCTCCAGGATCCTGGCAGCGGCTTCCCATGTCACTCACTGGGCACAAACACATGGAATGTTATGACTCTGGCCTCACTGCCCGTCCCCCACCACCAGTCTCAGTCCTTTAAGATCACCTACAGTCCTATCCAAAAATCAGAACTCGAATCCCCTCTGTGCAACCACGGGGTCACAATGAGGCTAGCAATTTGGCTGAAGTAATGAACACGAAGTCTGGAGTGGAATCTGACAAGCAGAGCCAGGAGATCAGGGGAGATGATGGGGAGAGGTGGGAGCTGCGGCGGAGGCAGGTCGGTCCACCTGGGACGGGGTGGCCCGCTCTGCTGTGCTCTCCCCAGATCGTGCGTACCTGTGGCTCGTCTCTCTCCCTTGGAGGCTGGTGGCTTCTCTAAATGGGTTCGTGACCCTCGAGAGGAGGGAAGAAGACACAGGCAGGGGATGAGGTGGTTCACACGGTCTGGGCCTGGGCTTAGCCAGTTCTGACCGAAATACCTTAAGCGCTAGGAGAATTTCAGCCATTCAAGCGACCTCCCCAAGACCCTGTCCAGCAGCCTCAGCACAGGATGACTCCTGTTGCCTTCAAATGACCTGGTCCGACCCAAAAAGTCAAAGACTGAGTAGACTAAAAAGAAGTGCAGACAGTGAAGGCGGTGCTGAGTCCTGCAACGCTACCAGAGAAGGGGGCACGTGGGGGGCGAGCCAGTTCTCGGAGACACGGGGACTTCAGGGGGGCAGACTGGGTCAAGGGTAGTCAGTGGGCACAGCGGCTGCGCTCGAGCACCAGCAGAGAGCGCCGGGCTCCTGGACACGCCCCCCAGCTGACAGCGAGCTCGCATTTGGGGCAAAGCAAGCAGAAGGGGGTGGGGCGGGGGTGGGCGTCCCCCGGGGGCCCTCCGCCGCGGCCCCGCTCACCTTGCACTTGAAGCCGGCGGCGGGCGGCAGCAGCTCTCGCAGCAGGGCCTTGGCCACCTCCCGGCTGGCCTCCTCGCTCACGAAGTGCAGGTTCAGCACCTCGTGCGCCTCGAACTTGGCGAGGCGCAGCAGGGAGCGGAGCGCGACGCGGGCCTTGGCCTGCAGCGCGGCGTTGTGTTCCGCCTTGGTGAACATCATCAGCAGGTGATAGTCCACCGGCACGGCCCCGCCGCCCTCCAGGCTCTTGGCCTTGGCGCCGGGGGCCGGCGCCACGGAGCCCCGCGCCACCTCCGGCGCGGGCGGCGAGGGTGCGGCGGGGGCCCCGGCGCGGGCCTCCTTCAGCCTCTTGGTGGCGCTGGAGAAGGTCTCCCGGCCCGAGCCCAGGTAGTAGAAGGCGCAGACGGCCAGCGCGGCGGCCAGCAGCAGGGCGCAGTAGTGGGAGCGCACGGCGCCCAGGCGCGCCATGGCCCGAGCGCACCGGGGCCCGCCTCGCCGACCCATGCGCCGCGCGCCGGCGGACTCCGCGGCCGGGGAGCTGGGGCCGCGTCCGGCACCCCGGCAGCCGCTTAGTGGCCAGGGCGGCGCGCAGCGGCCATGGCGGGGGCGGCGCTGCGCTGCCCGGAGCCAATCCTCGGGCGCTGGTGCGCGGAGAGGCGGAGCCGGGCCGCCGGGCCGCCGCTGGGTCCTAGATGTAGCGGGGTTCGCGCTGGGAAGGGCCAACCCGGCGAGGAAGCCCGCGGGCTGTAAGGACCGTTAAAACTGACCGTCCTGAGTGTCCGGCACCAGACGCTAAAAATCGAAGCCGAGCCTTAAAAGGCTTAGAGGCGCCCCAAGGCAGGACCTTCGGTCAGCAAAAAACAGGACGCACAAAGAGGGAGACATTGTATCTCTGTACCTTTCTCCCGCGGATGTTTGCAGGCTTTGCGTCCTCCCCCCGACTCCCTTCACATTTGGGAGACACGCTGGGGCTGGGGAATTTAAACTTGCAAGCTCCTTCCTCACTCGCGGTAAATGAGGGCTTGCCCTGGGGAGGAGACGGCCTGCCCCGCGCGCGGGCACCGGAGGCCGACCGAAGGCTGTGTGAAGGCTGTGGCCAGCAGGGGGCCCCCGCTGCCCACCGCTTCGGAGAGATTCCGGAGCCCCAGGCGGGTGACGCCAGAGACTTTTTTTTTTTTTTTTTTTAACAGACTAACGCTTGGAAAGAGCCTGAAGATGTACCAGGTGGGCTTTCAACATTGTAACTCAGGCATACTGAGGTAGCTCGCCCAAGGTCACAGAATGGCGGTTTTGACCTTAGACAACTGGACACTGACAGCTATACCATAAAAACTCACTAACTTGTCTTCTAAGGACTGATGATAATAACTACATAGCATTTACACATGTACAAATGATCTGCATGCTTGACGGACGCGGAAGTGAAAATGCACGGGCAAATGCACATACGAATTATCACTCCGCAGTTTATGGTGCCACGCCGTTCCTGGTCAAAGCGTGGTACCCAGAACCACAATTCCTCTCATTTTTAACTCTTGTTTGTTTCAGTTGGGATAACACTTTTCTGAAAAAAACACTGGACCTCTGAAGCGGGCTTAGCAACAAGTTCAATACATACTAGTCACCTTGTCTGTTGAGGGGGGGGATCAGACAGCTGAATTAACTCACTTGTATGATAGGCTCTTACTGGAATTCACTTAACCCACACAACCCTAAAAAAGTTATTATTTGCACTTTACAACTGAGGAAATTGAGATTCAGAGCAGTATATTACCCACGTCTAGTTGGCTAATAAGCAATGGAATCAGATCTCAACCCAAGTCTTAACTGCTACCCATGCCCAGGCTTTTAGCCAAGATTAGCACTGAAAGCAGTAACTCGAGCTCTGAATTGTGTTATTTTACCACAGCTTTTAGCAGACACTATGGTTACAAGCGCAAGCTCTCCAAGTTAAGAGTTAAGTCCAGCTCTAGCAATGCAAATTATTAGACATCTGGCAAATTACTTAATCTGAGCTGCAATTACACTCATATGTAAAACAGGCCTGATATGAGCACCCATTATGCCTCCTAGGGTTATGAGAGACAATACATAAGAAGTAGTTAAAACTGTGCCTGATACTTAGCAAACAATAAAACTATGCTAGAAACACTAAGCTCTACAAGAAGTCTAAATATCCTACAAGTACCAAAATATGATTCAGTGACCATAGCTTTTCTAGGGTAATTACAAATACAAAACCACAGATCTCCATTAAGTCTTAATTATATGCTCCACAGAATCCCCACAGCAGTGTGCTACAGCTATATTATTACATTGTTATTGTTGTTCACTAATAAGAGAAAAATAATTCCTCTTGGTGTCTTTTAGTCCCTTCCGCCCCCTCCCCCCCACACCTACACCTTCAATAACATGGTTTTTCCTTCTGCCACTGATTCTAGAATTTATTCAACAAAATATTTTCTTTTTCAGCCTTGATAAGATCACTACTCCTGGTATTTATGGATAAGAAATGAATAACAAGATAATTTAAATTTTACATACAAATTCTGTAAACACAGGAAAATACTCGAGACTAGTCTCATCTCATGTTGTAGCTTCTTCATTCCAATTACTTAACCATAAAAAAAAAATTAACGTGTAAGCTTCCTGAAATATATTGCTCTCTGGAAACTAAATCAATTGGTTGATTGAAGGTAGCCAGTCATTTATTCAAGAGGTAATAAGTGACAACTATATGTCAAGCACAGTAGCATTTGAGGATGCAGCAGCGAAAAGAAACAGAAGTCCCTGCCCTCACAGAGCCTATATTCTAGCAGGGGAAAATAGAGAAATTAGAAATATGCAGTGTGTCCGATGGTGACATGGGCTGTTTTCTAAGCTTAAAAAGATAATAGCAGGGTATATAATGACATGGCTAAATAGACAAAGAACTTTGGTAACCACGATAACTCCTCAGATCTAACTTTAACTTTGGTCAAGTTCTCAGACTTCTGACCAGAGACTAGAATTGTTTTTTCCATCCATAATGTTGGATTATATTTTTTTCATGTTGACTAGTGCCCAATATTGTCAAGGATACAGAGAAACAGACACTTTCCTCTACAGCAGATGGAGGAAGGCTACTTTCTTGGAGGGCACTCTGGCAACGAAATCTTGCTGGCCTCGAAGAGAACTCTCAGTTCTCTCCTACGCAGATCAGGGGTTCTCCTAGAGACAGGGGTTCTCAGATTCCGTGTGGCATTGCAAGCACTTGAGGAGCTCGGTAAAAACACAAAGGCCAAAGCCCTATGTATCTTCAGTGAGCTCAGTCCTCGACAGTGAATCTTTTACAGACCGAAGTTTGTAAAGCACTGCATTAGGTCTTCACCCAGCCAACCTCCCTTTATGTGTACAATCTTGACTTAGATGTCACTGCCTTGATGAGTGGTCTCTGAACACCAGCCTATCCAGTGTCCAGGTGAGGCACTATCGTCCAACAATTCCATGAGAGCCACCTATAAACTATTCAGTCCCATCTTTCTCTACTGCAAGTGGAGAAAGGCAAGATCCCAAGAAAATAGGAAGTACATCTTTTTTTTTTTAACCATAACATCCCCAATACCTACCACAGTGCCTGACTCAATGAATGAACCTCAAAAATATACCCACCCATTGTGACCCAGCATTTTTACTTCTAGTAATTTGCCCGGAGGAAACAAGAATGTATGCAAATATTTAGCCATAAGGATAAAGCAGAGCTAGATTTAAGATGGCAAGAAGCTGGAATCAAATGTTCAGCAATGAAGTGGTTAAACAAAAATGATGCTGTCATTAAAAGTATTCACAAACTTCAAGTGGAAATGTCTAAAAATAAATGGAAGAATTTGTACATTTAGACTCAAGAGACATTAGCCAACTGCAAGTCTATGAAGTTCCATGCATGGAACTTCTATGAGCTGTGATTTGAAGAATCTGTTTTTAAAGAGCATATTTGATACATTTGGGACAATGTGAATACTGGCTCTATAGTTTTATAGTTTAAGGAAATGTGATGTTGTGATTGCCTTTTTTCTTTTAGAGATACATACTGAATGACTTGCTAGTAAAGTGTCTGAGACTTGATTCAAAATCTGGGGAAGAGAAAAAATGGGTGGGAGTATTAATAAAACAACGTTAGCCCTGAGCTACTAGCTATTGTAATTATTCTATGTTGTACATGTTTGAAATTTTCAATTCTAAAAAAAAAAATTTTTTTTAATCCTCTCCAAAGTGATATAGAACACTTGAGGACTTAGAAATCTTTTCCCATTAAGTGAAAGCAGGTTTAAAAAAAAAAAAAAAAGATTCCCATTGCATATCGACATAAATACACACAACCAAAGCTCTGAAAAGATAAATACTGAAAAAGGAACAGTTCCCCCTAAGAACTATTCAACAGAACTGCCTACAATGATGGACAGGTTTTACAATCTGTCCTGTTCAAAACAGTAGTCACTAGGCACATGGCTAAGCTCTTAGAATGTAGCAGTGCCACAGATGAACTGAGCTTTGTCTAATTTGAATTAATTTCATAGCCACATGTGGCTGCTAGAGACCATATCGGAGAGCAGAGGCAGATGACGGAGTTGTGGAGGATTATCTTTTTTTTTTTAATTATTAAACATTTTTCTACAATGAAAAAGCATTGTTTTTGCAATAGGAAAGAGGTTATTTTAAAAATTTATTAAGTATAGGTGTGGTTCTCTTCTTCACAGAACTATTCTGAAAATGAAGTGGAATAAAGCAAGTCACCTTGAAATGTTTTATGTGTCTGCTTTTAATTAACTTCAGGCAAAAGCAGGCGATTCACTTCCAGGTCTGTTCTTTCAACCCTCCATTCCTTCTATCTCAATTCATATAAAAACATGTTTTTGTTTCCTAAAAGGATGAGTGCAAATGTGTTGCCTAGATTGGAAACTTCCTCAGATGTCAATCATAATGGAAAATTAGGGCCCACTGCCACACACACAGCCTTTGTTGTTTTTAACTATGAATTGAGAGCATACAGCTGTGTAATCTGGAAGAAGATATTTAAAAGACCAAAATGGGGATAGCTGGGTGGCTCAGTCAGTTAAACCTCTGACTCTTCGATTTCAGCTCAAGTCAATGCTCTCATAATTCTCTCTCCCTCTCCCACTGCCCCTCCTCTGCTCTCATGCACTGTTAAAAATAATCAAAATGGATTTCCTGATTGAAGCAATCAGCAAACAGAATCAGCTGGATCAGTCTGACAAAGTTTGAATACAAGACTTTAAACATGACAGTTGGCGGGGCACCTGAGTGGCTCAGTTGGCTGGACGTCTGACTTTGGCTCAGGTCATGCTCTCACAGTTCATGGGTTCAAGACCCACATCGGGCTCTGTACTGACAGCTCAGACCCTGGTGCCTGATTCGGATTCTGTGTCTCCCTCTTTCTGTCCCCTCCCCACTTGGACTCTGTCTCTCTCTCAAAAGTAAAAATAAACATTAAAAAGTAACTTTAAAAAATAAACATGACAGCTGTTAACAGATATGTCTGCAGTTGTAGTTCACAATAAAGTGCAAGTGTGAGCATAAAAGAACTATGCCAG